TGGGCCGCGCTGCACCCCGCGCGGGGCGGGAGGTGCGGGCCTGGGCGGTGGGGGAGCGTCGCGTGCGGTGTGCTGCCCCGCCCGCCCGCGCGCTGCGCCGGTCTCGGGTACCGCAGGGGCAGATCAGGTGTTTCTGAGCCGCTCCCCCCCCATTCCCCCCAGCCGCTGGCACTGTTACCTCCGGGTCCCCAAAGACTGGTTTCTGTGAAACTTCGGGAGAACCTTTGGCTTTGACCTCTAAAAAAAATATTCCACGCCGCCTGCGTTGAATGATTAACCAGACTCAGGACTCAGGAGCTGGCCCTGCCGCTGGCAGGTGGGCGCGCCTGCGGGGCGGGGACCCTTCGGGGGACGTGACACCCAGCACCTGGTTAATTGCACTCGCCTGGGGTCCTCTGAGCTCCGGGGTCTTGGGTGGAGAGGAAGCTCAGTGGAGACGACTCTTGAGTGTCACGGTGTGCGAGGTCATCTTGGAAAGTATTGCACACGTTTTTTGTAACCTGGGCTGGCTGCAGGGTGGCTGGTCTTTGCTCCCCTCCCTGAGGGGGTCGCCTCGACGGCCCCAACTTGGTAGACTAATGGGAACGATTAAACCTGTTCTTCTGCCACGCACCCACCCCCACTCCCCGCAAGCCGTGCTTTTCGGGTTTCGAAGCCAGTGGGTGAAAATGGGGTTCCTGTTATAACAGATTCTTTCAGGGGTTTGCATGTATTTGGGGGAGTGTTGTGTGTGTGTGTGGGGGGGGGGGCGGTTCATGAGGAGGCCACTGGACCTTGAGTGGAACTAGGCGATTGGGACCAGGACCCAGCCCAGAGCGCGCTCCAGTGGGGTTCAGACCTCGCACCGAGAGGGACCCGCCCAAGGGCCCCGGTGACTTTTCCCACCGGACCCAGTCTGACTTCTGTTTTTTTTTTTTTTCTAATAAAGATTATGAAACTGTTGGAATTTTTTTACGCACAGTCCGAGAGCTCTTCATATTTGATTAGGTTTTAAGACCAAAGAAGTGTGCTGGAGCCCTGTAGAACTTGCCGGAGTAATTTCCCCCCTTTCCAGCGCGGTGGTCTTTTTTATCTGCTGGGAACTTCTTTCCCAGCGTGGAATACTGCTTTCTCCCTCGGGACTCTGCCTGCCGCTCTTAATTTAGTGTTTTGTGCAGATAGCAAATACAGTCAACTGCCGAACTCCGCGTTAAACTTGACTGAGTGCCTTCACCGGTCTCGTTTCTCTGCCACGTGCTGTTAAAAGACTAGTTAGTTTTCCTGTATGAGCTGTGGTTCCCCTACTTAGTTTCGGAACGGGATACTTGCTTTGTAAGATTGTTTTTGAACACAAATAGGATGCTTTAAGTACTTAAAGAGATCACAACGAAGTTCGCGCTGGTTCAGCTTCCGCTTGCCAAAAACAGTGATCTGTTGTTGGAACGGTTCAGATATGTCTAGCCTGAAATCACCCAAGCTTGACGGATGGAGATAGCCGGTTTTTAAGACCTAAGGAATGAGGTAGTCTTTGAGAAAAACAAACATAATTTGCTTATGAATTGCTTTCACCCAGCCCACGTGCTTTTGAAGGCCTGGGCATAGAGATGGCTTACGGTTTTAAAGATATCATTCAAAGCTGGACATGGTGGTATATGCCTCTGATCCCAGCACTCAGAGGCTATCGAGTCCCCGAGTTCCAGGCCAACCTGGGCTATACAGAGAAACCTCGAAAAACCAAAATAATAATTTTTTTTTTTAGATTTATACTAACAGTTATGCTAAAAATGGGGAAGGGGAAATGGATAATTTGCTGTTTCCACTAAACTGTACTGTTTGTTCAAAAGTGTGCATATGCTTAAGGGTATATTAGGAAACAAGATCCAAATATTGCCCATCTTAAAATGATGCTGGTTGGTTTAAAAGTTGGGATACGTTATATTAGAAATTTGTGGGGCTTTTTTCAAATGATGGTGAGAAAGGATGAGTCTTTGTTTCTCAAACTTTGAAACGGCTACTGTTATGTTTTTAAACCACAATTTAGGGTCAGGTGTGGGGCCTATATCTTTAATCCCAGCACTTGGGAGGCAACTGGCAAGCTGATTTTTAAGTTCTAGGAGAGCCAGGGCTACATAGAGGACTCTTATCTCAAGAACAATCAATCAATAATCCATAATTTCAGATCTCTATCAGACCTGTTTTCACGTTGGGTGGGTGCTGTTAATTAGTCCTAACTCGTTTAATGAGTGTAATATTTGACTCTTTGGGCATTTTTAAAAAGCTTTATTAGACAGTCTGTTCATACTTCAAAACTTAAGTATAGTTCATAAATATGAGATTTTGCAACCAGGCTAGTATTTGGTAATACAACCTATTATAACACCCAAATAGTGGTATATAAATTACCAAAACTCAGAAATTATCATAGCAGTCTTTTGTCTTCTGTAATTGCTCTGGGATCAAAAAACATGATCAGTTGTCTGGCATTTTTTGGTGTGTGAGGTGAAAGAATGAATTGAATGAGGCTGAACTCTATCCAAAGCGGTATTTCCTAATTGCTGAACAGAAATCACCCAGTGAAGGAGATAACCCCAGCCCAGCTCACCCTGTAGTTCCAGCTGCCTTCTCCCCTTCTGGAGTGGGTGCTTGATGGCTATATTAAAATGGTAGGATGAATATATGCCTCTCTGGAGAGGCAATTACTGTTTGGATAAGAGGCGTGTGCATGTGTGGGGCGAGGCTTTTTGAGAATTGATGTAATGATTTCATCATCATCCACCGGTAGAGAAGCTTTGCCAGTCTGAACAAAGCCTGAGAACCATTTACGGTTTGATGGAGGATTGTCCCTGGGCATCCTGGTACGGTTACTACTGGAACAAGTTACTCCTCCTGAGCCTCTTACGCGTTTCAACTGTATGTTGCCCCTGTTTTGAGTTTCTTTTGCTGCCAGCTCTGTTTGCTTGGCATGGCTTCCTATTGTAACAAGACCCAATGTTTTTGACAGCCAGCATTGCATCTGATTAAATAGATGCAAATTTTAACATTTATGCACTTTCAGGTGTCTACATTTTATGTAAATGTAATAAATTATTACAAAATGTAAATGTAATAATTAGAAATTGTTTTCTGTTTCTCTGTAGACATTCCCTTCAGATTTTTTTTTTTTAATTCTGAGGGGAAATTCCCAGTAGTCAGGAAATCGATACTTTCCACTTTCATTCTGTGACATTTTAAACTGGGTTTATTTAGGCTCTTCACTTTTTTTTTTAAAACAAACAAACAAACAAACAAATCCTTATTAACCAAGGTAATCGGTTTTAAGAATGTAGGCTTTCTGAGCTGTGAAAAGGTGGTTTGGTTAGTCAGGAACAGGAACTTGGAGTCACTTGCCTGAGGTTTTCCTTTTTGTTAATGACACAGTGGTGAGTGTGAGCTCCTGTTTATGAAGAAATGGGAATTTCAGCTGCTCCATGAGGCTCCTGTGCTCGCCCCTACAGGGTGACGTCATTGCAGATGTCACTCACAGCACTGTAGGTTGGCTTTACCTGCCCCTAGTTAATCGGAATCAGTCATAGCATATGTAGTGTTTTATAAACAGTGGGGTGTGACTCTGGTTTTACCACTCGCTTTGTGATTATGGTGAGTTGCTTGGCCTCCCTGAACCATGAGATGCTAGGAAAATTAAAGCAAATGATAGAGCTAAGATACCTGGGTGGGTGAGATACCTTAGTGAGAACCCCCCCCCCTCCCCAGGTTGTCCTCTGACCTCTACCTGTGTGCCATGGCTGATGCTCACATGCGTGTGCTCATACATGCAAATTTAATAAAACACTAGCACTCCACCTGAGACGGTGATAGCTAAAGGAATTACATATTCTCTGTTTAAATAAGCTACATTATAAAAGCGAATTAAGTCTTGTTTTGAGGCTTGGGACTCAGTGTGTAGCTCAGGCAGATCTTTAAACTCTGAGCTACCTGACTCTGCCACCCACCCCAGCACTGGTATTAAAAGTGTGCAGCCCCACCCCGGCTAACATAGGGCTTTTATTGGAAGTTAGAAATAAAATCTGTTGATGAATACCTTGCTGTGGCATTTAGTTTAAATAAGATGTGTTCTTCCAGTTGATGACCTCCTGTTTTTCATTTATCTCTGATAATCCACATTGAGATGTCCCGCCCAGAGCTGTTTGGGCCCCTGCATGGTATGAGTGAGCTTGTAAAAGGTGAGGTGATGAGTGCTCCTGAAGGGCCCTGACGAAGCACCCTGAGTGCTCAGACAGCATTTACCACTTCATGTTTTGTGAGTGAATTATTTCAGAAGTGAGAGCACATTGCCAGTTGTTTTAATTGCATGCTTCATGCTGGCCATTT